GTTATTAAAAAGCAAAAAAGAGATTCTTGTCTGATGGAGAAAAAGCAACTGGATCCCCTGTTTGGATCTTTCAGAGGGGGAAAAAAACACGCGATGCCCAACTCTGCTGAAGTTTGCACCACAGAGTCTCTTTTGGCGAGATGGATAGCAAATAAATAAATAAAAATAAAATATGCAACTCCCTGAACCAAAATTGGCAAAGGAATCCAAGTGCCTGGGCTCATGCAATTTTTAAGTAACAAGTTGGCACAATGAGGTGGACCACACAAACTAGCCCCAAAGCATTTGGCAAGGGGTTCAAAATGTGTCTTGTGCAAACCACAGTACTGAAGGCCCCAAAGGATGGATTGCAAAGATTTATCATAAATCCTTGGGATGAAGGAAAAGTAAGAGCTTTTTCCAACTTTTGCCTACATGTGCTTTGCTTTTAACATAGTCTGTTGTCTAGGCCAGGAGCCTCCAACCATGGCACCTTTAAGACTTGTGGACTTCAACTCCCAGAATTCTCTGGGCGCTCTGGGAGTTGAAGTCCACAAGTCTTAAAGTTGCCAATATTGGAGACCCCTGGTCTAGGCCCCTATTGGCTGGATGGGTGCATTAGACTAGGCTGTAAATTGTGGCTTAGAAAAACACTGCACTCTAAACTGAAATCAAACCATGTTATGGGGTGGTGTGAAAAGGAACTCAAGTTATAAAAACATAAAGCAGTGCTATCCTCTGAAGCCTGCATTGACTATTAGGAAAATCTCTCCTTGTCCAAAAGATGGAGAGAAAGAGAATGCCCACACCAAATGGAAAGTGTCCCTGTATCTGTTACATTTAACAGATTGACAGATAATCAGAGTTGGAAGGGACCTTGTAGGTCATCTAGTCCAACCCCCCACCCAAGGAGGAGACCTTACACCATTTTTGACAGATGGCAGTCCAGTCTCTTCTTGAAAGCCTCCAGTGATGAAGCTCCCACAACTTCTGAAGGCAACTTCTGTTCCATGGGTTGATTGTTCTCACTGTCAGAAAGTTTCTCCTTATTTCCAGGTTAAACCTCTCCTTGTTCAGTTTCCATCCATTGTTCCTTGTCTGGCCTTCAGATGCTTTAGAAAATAGCTTGACCCCTTCCTCTCTGTGGCAGCCCCTCAAATATTGGAAGACTGCTATCTATCCTGTCTCCCCTGGTCCTTCTCTTCACTAGACTAGCCTGGCCCAGTTCCTGCAACAGTTCACGGTATGTTTTAGTCTCCAGTCCCCTAATCACCCTGGTTGCTCTTCTCTGCTTTCTTCTAGAGTCTCGACATCTTTGCGTTTGCTGGTAATGTTTCTTCTTGACTTCGTGGTCAGGTTTGCGATCCAGAGATCTCAATCTTACCGTCTCGGAAAGGGACGGTGAGGAATGATTCTCGCAGTTCTGGGGCGCTTCGGATTACTCCAGGAGGAACCCAGGACCGCGCCCTCTCCTCATTCCTGAATTTACACGACCCCTCCGGAGAGGAATATCCTCCTCCTATGCCCACTTTTCGGGATCTGGAAAATCTTAGGTCATAAGCCCGGCCAACTCAAGGAGAGGAAGGCGAGTGCGCAACGGAGGCGCAGAAGTCCAGTAGAGCTCCAAAACGATCCGAGCGCTCCTGCCGCCACCTTCTCTTCATTAATCGGGGGCAAGCCCTGCCGAGGCCGCTTCCTCCCAGCCAGAACCGCTGAAAACACCCCTCTCTCAGGTGCGGTTCCTCGGGATAAGGTTGCAACCAGGCGTAGGGCTCTTTCGGAGCCAGTCCCGTCGCCCAACTGTGCGACTCTCAAGCGTCCACCTGGAGTTGCACGGGGCTGACCGATCCTGGCGCAGAGAATGGGGATGGGGGAAAGGGAAGGAGGGAAAGCGCACGCCTTGGGGGACCAAGAGAACATCCTGCCAAGCAAGATCCGCAAGGAAGGCGTCCAGCCGCGGACCGGCGAGGGATTTCGAGCAGAGCGATTTGGCTGGTGAAGAAGCGCGCAGAGCAACATCCTCGCGCGACCTGAGCATAATGCGGGAGGAAAGCCGCCCCCTCCCTCCCCGAGTTTTTCGCCGGTGCTCCGAAACTCTACCCTTCCTACAGGTTTCCTCTCTCCCGCCTCGAACTACGCGAGGATAAGAGCGCCCCTTTTTCAGCGAAGAGCCGTTTTTCAGTAACGTTTTGGATCGAGCCAGCACAGGAATAAGCTGAATAATAAGCTGTCAGCTAAATAAGCTGACAGCCTCTTCAGGGTCTCCCACCTTGAATCATCGGATGGGCCAGCTGCAGATCATTTTATTCTTCACCCATTTCCCAAATCGATGAAAGGAACCCATCTCTATGGAGATTCTCAGTCATGGTTGTCCCAAAGGTGTTTTTTTTTTTTTCCAAGAGGCAACTGGACTTCTTGGAAGCTTCTTGGATGAGAAGCGAAAGGTCTTCAAAGAAAAACAAGGAAGCCTCTTGAAAAAAGCACCTTTGGAACGAAACGAACACTTGCTGCCCGTCTTGTTAGTTAGAGAAGCTTTGGGACTTATCCTCCCTCCTTGATCCTTGCAGAGTTCCCAAAGAAGACCCTTAATAAATATTATTCCTTCTAACCAGCAACACCCCTTCTGAGCTTTCTAAATTTACTTTGCAGCTCATGGGGTTGGGTAATTATTCCTCCTCACTGTTGCTGTCTATCATGAATAACCTAGGGATCTCTGAGCCAAGTGTAAATGTACTTAATCATCATCTCATCTTTTAACGACCCCATAATCCCTTGCAGCTTGGAGTCTGGGCAACTGAATGGAGCTAGCAGAGTGTTTACTGGCCGGATGCCCTTCCTGTTGCCAATGCAAAGTTTTGTTCAGCTGATACATTCTCAGTGTGCACAGAGAGAAATATCTCCCTCTACCTAGGATTGAACTCACAGCCTCCTAATTGTGAGGTGAGAGCTCCGCCTCTAGGCCACCACACCACTCCTTGTAAATGCACTTAATAAAATAATCTTTCTTTGGAGGAATGGCTGCTCTAATCCTATGTCTATTGACATGAACTTAATAGGAGTCTGGATAAGTTAACTTCACAGGATCAGCTGATGTGAGAACTGGTTGAACACAAGCCTTTTGGTGTGAGGCATGAAACTTAAGATAGTGCAAGCAACATTTTTAGTACTTTTATGTATTGGAGATGGAGTAGGTGGGAGGTAAATGAAATCCCAATTTGGGACAATCACTTTAGGTACATCAGAGAAAGATCCAATCCCAATGTTTCACCCTAGAACTGAAAAATGTTTAATGGATGCAAGCAGCCAATTGGGTCTTGTGTTCAGTTACCATCAGCAAGTACGACAGGATAGGGTACACTTATAAACACATTTATAACTGTACCTATCCTGCAAGACTATTGCACCAGTGGATGTGGTTTAAGAAAAGATGTTGCAAAAAACAGGCACTCAGATTTCAGAAACCCAAAAAAGAGTGATCAAGATAGTGAGGGAAACTAGAAAGGAGTTACTTGTTCCTGATAAGGCAAGGCAACAATCACGTTCAAATATTTGAAAGGAAGTCCTGGGAAACCTGAACAGAATGCAGCTAAAGTGAGAAACATTTGGATAGCAAAACCAATTGCTTGGGAGAAGTAGTGGGGTTTCATCAGATGTATAGAGGTTGTGGACAATTTGTAGCATTTGAAGATGGTATAAAACACTAATACCTTCCAGAAATTGAATAAATAAAAAAAATGAATACAAAGGCTGGGTTTTCCCAATTTGTTAAACCATGGTTTACTAAACTGTCTTCACACATATTCACAAAATTTACTGAACTGTGTTCCCATGCACTGAGAAGAAATGTTCTTCATTCTTTTATCTCCCAGGCGACAAAATTAATACATTATCAGTATTCTGGCTTTGCTGCACTAAGTAACAAACCTTCTCAATCTCAAGCACTGATGTGAGGGAAACTGCATTCCTGCCACAGCCAGAGCTTTGAATATGATATTTTTTTAAACTTAGTAGCTGTCTGTAAAAATTCTCCAGTATCTTCCTTATGCAGCTGCTTTACATGCATCGAAAGGCAGGTGTTTATTTGAGAGGCAGTGCTGCAACACTGAAGTTCTTTGTCGCATTCAGAGTTTACTTATTGGCAGCAGAGAAGCCTGTGTCAGGCTCTTATAAATAACGGCCCTTGGAATAGAAATGGCCAAATATGTCTTGCAGCTTGCATCTAGGGACGCCTAGGTTTCCTCCAGCAAAGATTTCACAGGGCCAAGGTCAGGATTAAAAGGTGGCTTGCCAGTCTCCTGGAGATCTTCTGCCATTGTGTGCTCAGGGGAAGGGTCTGCTCTATGACTTGTCATTAAAGCCTCCACCACCAGCAACCAGACTGGGCAGGATAAGCAATCTTTTGACAGTCAGAAACCACAATTAATATTTTTGGAGAGATCGGGGGACACTACAGAACAAACCTGCAAGTCAAAAGTCATGATGCAATACAGGCTGGGAATTCTCCTTGGCTGTTTCTTCCCAATAAGAGGAAAGTTATGTCTGTTTCTGGGACTTATATACAATTTTTGTGGTTGCCGTGACTCAGAATGCTAGGAAACGGTGCCACGGGAGAGAGAACTCCAGGGGTTGAGAACGATGAAATGCTAAATTGGTCTACAATGTGCCCGAGACAGAATATACGGGTTAATACTTAGACCTACACAGAAAATACTTGGCAGAATTTTTGAACCAATCAAACACAACTAAACTCAGAATAGCCACACATGGCAGGACACAAGATGACCCCCCCAAAGAGATGCTCTTTCTAAAATGGGGATTAGCAATTTAAATTTCCCTGTTTGATTCCAACAGTGACATCATTAAGCCGCCATAGTTCCATACTGCAACAAAATAATATCTCAAATGAAAGCTTCTCTCTTCCTTCTATCATCCTCTGGCAGATACCAACAGAAATATTTTCATTATGTATTCTTCATTTACAGTACAGTGACTAGGAAAAAGCAATACAATAATTGGCAATCTCTATTCCATGCATCCTTTATTCCATTACAACCACTGTTGTTGCATTCTGGCAACAAATACACAAACCATAATCAATTGCAATCTCTTTGTACAACAATCAAAGGCTTACAGTACACTTAAGGCCGTTCAACTTGGGGACAAAACTTTAGGCCTTTTAGTGTAATGATGTAAAGAGTGTTTTGCATATTCTGTGCAATTCCAGTGTCAGAATGAAAAATTTCCCCTAAACAAACAAACAAAAAAAGGACCAGTTTCAATGAAAGAGTTACACAAATTCATCAAAAAATGAATGTGCAATTTGTTAGTTGTCCTGGTAATCTTATAAAACCTTTAATAGAAAGCAAGGCAGGGATAAAAACTTATAACAAAACATATTCATATATAAACCAGAATTTGTTAACTAGACTTAAATTTTATAAGTTGCCAGGAGTTATGCATTAAAGGAAACCCACTTATATACAATATTTTTAAAAAAACAACCTTTAGAAGGAATGCAAGTCACACAAGTAACTGCCAAAGCTGGCTCTTATTTAAGATTGAGAACATTATCTTAGGAATGGGGTTAGTAAATTTGTACATTTCTTCCAGTTTTTTTTTAAAAAGAATTCATATCCATTTAGTTATTATGACTTTCCAAGTATTTCATTTTGTAAATCTGCAAAAAAAGACAATTGAAATGTTGCCCGAGAATTGCCTCAGTACCAAACTGTGGGCACTGTCCAGAAATTTTCATTAAATATTGTAGTTAGGAAGGAAAAGTCGCCCAAAATGCTCCCCTAAGAAACACAATGAAAAATCACCACAAAATTTCTTTCCAGTTACAATAACACAGTTTAAAAATGTGACATGGGAAATGCTCTAAGACTGAAGCTGTGGTCCAGATCCTTTGTATTCCAGATCATGGGAAGATTTAAAAAAAAAAAAGGGGGGGGGGGACCCTATACATACAGATATCTAAGACAAACTACCTGAAGGGCAGGATAGGAAAATGTGGAAATATTATCCTGCACTTAAATTAAATAGTGTCCTCACGTTCATCCATTGTCCTTCTATGTCTCCAGCTCTTCTAGTGTAAGGAAAGTACAAAATATTGTGTGGGTTACAGTAGTGGCCATGAGAATAGTTTCCTGATATAAAAAAGGAGACAGTCAAGACTTGATTGGATCTGCCCTATCCAAAGGGCTTTTCTTCATAGTATAAAGCTATGACAGTTAATCCAGTTAATGCATGTGCAAAAACAGGTAAACTCTTCTATTCACAGTTAAATGAGGTAAAAAAAAAGCAAAGGAAAAAAAATAAAGGAAAAAATATCAAGTACTTTAGGTGTTTTCAGGAATTAGGAAGTTCATGAGATATGAACTGTTTTAGTCGTTCTAGGTATTGTGCATAGAGCTCGATGTCATTGTGGCCAGCCCCTTCCACCCAAAGGGGCTCTACGGCCCGGGGGCATCGCTCATACATTGCCAAACCGTGGGAAAAATCTATGACTTCATCTTCAGTACCGTGAATCACCAAAACGGGAGAGGTGACTTTTGAAATCTTGTCAATGCTGAGGAAAGAAGCACAAAGCAAATACGTTAGTAAAGAGGATGCAACACTCAGCCATACTTTTGTTTCTTGAAACTTTTGCTCGGGAGCCTTGAAGGTTTCTAAAGGAGAAGGCCATCAACCACCAGCCTAAATTCCTTTAAAAAAAAAGAAAGTCATCCGTTTTAGGGAGAGGTTCAGTAACAATAAATGGCTCAGAAAAGCACTGGATGAGTGTACCAAAGCATCCTTCTTAGACAACTAGAATAGAATTATTTATTGGCCAAGTGTGATTGGACACACAAGGAATTTGTCTTGGTGCATATGTTCTCAGTGTACATAAAAGAAAAGATACATTCGTCAAGAGTCAAGAATCATCAGGTACAACACTTAATGATAGTCATAGGGTACAAATAAGCAATCAAATCATACTAGGAAACAGTCAATATAAATTGTAAGGATACAAGTGACAAAGTTACAGTCATAAAGTCATATGGAGGAGATGGGTGATAAGGAGTGATGAGAAGATTAACAGTAATAGTAGTGCAGACTTAGTAAATAGTTGGACAGTGTTGAGGGAATTATTTGTTTAGCAGAGTGATGGCGTTTGGGAAAAAACTGTCCTTGTGTCTAGTTGTTCTGATGTGCAGTACTCTATAGCGTCATTTTGAGGGAAGGAGTTGAAACAATTTATGTCCAGGATGTGAGGGGTCTGTAAATATTTTCACAGCCCTCTTTTTGACTCCTGCTTGTATACAGATCCTCAACTGAAGACAGATTGGAGGTAATTTAAGTCTCCAAACTAGATGAGGGGTTCCCAACCCCCGGGCTGTGGCCCACTACCAGGCCATGGCTTGTTTGAAACTGGGCCACGGGAGAAAAGGGCAAGTGCTCGTGCACAAAGCTCCACTCGTGGCATAGACGTGAATGGAGCTTCACACATGAACACCCTCTGCTCTCGTGCGAAGCTCCATTTGTGCGAGTGGAGGATGTGTGCTCGCACCACTCGCACAAAAGGAGCTGTGTCCCTTGACCTTGGAAAAAGTGCAGAGAAGAGCAACTAAGATAATCAAAGGCCTGGAGAATAGAATATATGAAGAACGGCTGCAGGATTTGGGTTTGGCTAGTCTAAAGAAAAGAAGAATTAGGGGTGACATGATAGCAGTATTCCAAGTATTTTAGGGGCTGCCCCAAAGAAGAGGGGAGTCAAGCTATTCTCCAAAGCACCAGAGGGCAAGACAAGAAGCAAGAGTTGGAAACTAATCAAGAAGTAGTGGGTGCACCATCACTGGAGGTTTTTAAGAAGAGACTAGACAGGCACTTATCTGAAATAGTATAGGTTTTCCTGCTTGAGCAGGGGGCTGGACTAGAAGACCTCCAAGGTCCCTTCCAGCTCTATTCTATTCCATTCTAAAGCCTGCCACTACCCCCCCCCCCCCCCCCCGGGTGCTGGGCCACCCAGCTGGAAAGGTTGGGGAGCACTGAACTAAATGACAGTGCAGGCCAACTGCTGCTCTGCTACCTGAGAACCTTTTCAACATTTGTGCATCTCCCACTATTGAACTGCTCCTCTCGGCACCCTTCTCCCTCGGCTACACTTGTTATAGTCATTGGCGTCAACATCCAGCAGCATCTGGAGAATCAGAATTCCCTTCTGCCTAAGAACATGTCCCCGCTTTCCATGCTTGGACAAAAAGACATCAAAAGATACCGTATGTAGACTAAATAAAACAAAACAAAACCAGGAACTGGAAAATGTTATGCAAATGTTTGCACTTGAGCTCCTCCATAATGGATAGTGTCTGATAAAGGACATAGAAGCTGCCTTCAAGGAATTAACAAAACTGTCCATGTAATACAACAAAATCTGTCTGGCATTCCTTTATTGTAAAAAAGGGGCATCTTAAATGTCTGGTTGGCATGCAGGAATGGAGTGGCAAAATCTAGCAGATAGAGCACAAAGGCAGAAGACCATTTTATGGCAGTCAGATGGGCTTTTCTAGGGAGAAACACCTGTTGGACCCCCAATGTATCTCTAATCTTGTTTCTTGCTGCAAAGAATAGTGTTGTGGTTAGCCGGCAGCAGGTGCAGACGGTTGAGGACAGCGAGGACTCAGATGAGGGGCCAGGCCATGAGGGAGTGCAGTGCTGCCTTCAGAGATTGTAGGGGCTGGCAGTAGCGATGAGGAGGTTCCCGAGGAGCCTGTGCCAAGTGCATGTGAGTGCAGAGCTGCTCGCAGGAGAGAGCAGCTACAGCAGCACGGGTGACTCGGGAGTAAGGCTGCAAGGTAATGGCCCCTCCTTCAAGAAGATAAAAGCCAGTTGTGAATAGGATGTTCTTTGCAGGAAGCAAAGACTTTTTGAAACTCAAGCCTCATGGACATTGCAGTATCTTAATTAGTATTTGAAGACTCTTGTGTTGTAAAATATTTCTAGGTAACCTTATCTGTTATTCTTGGCAGCCTCGCACAGTTTTGGCGAGGCTTGTGCTTATCAAAGTTAATTAGTTTGCAGCAGCCTTTTAACCAGGGATTTGTAAGAATCATTAAAAGGTTGCTGTTCCTTTGGTTCATGTTTTATTGAACAAGGGTTTGGGTCAGAACAAATAGTCTTGAGAATCCAAAAGAGAGTGAGCTGAGTGAGCCAGATGGCAGATCCTGGCTGTTTGTGAAATTATTCTATTTTCTATATAATTATAATTATTTTTCCCAACTAGTCTAACGTTCGTACTACCAATTCTATGAAAACTTTTAAAATGGCGTTTTCAAACTTGCCTGCTTTCACCAGTTTGTGCTTACTTGCCAAGCAGCTTTACATATTTTGCAGTGAGTCTCATTTCACAACCAACTATTCTAATATCACACTCTGCTCCAAGCTCTAGGTAACGGTTTTATATTCTATAAAATGCCTTGAGTCGCCATGGGCGAATAGGCGGCAATATAAATTCAATAAATAAATAATCAGCCCAAGATCAGATTTACTTCAAAGACCATGGAATTCAGATATATTTCTCCTCTAATGCTGCTCAGCTCTGCTGTGCTGCTATTCTGTTAGAGAATAGAGACCCCAGATTATTATTACCCCTTTCACAATTTACAATGTACTGATTAAGTTTTTTCTTCTTACATATGGAATTTAACTGTTTCTAATGAATGATGCTTCCCATTGATGGAATTCTGCACATACCTTGGAAAAGCATCAAAGCAATATGTTTTTCGGGTGTCAGGGAAGGCTACCCTCAATCCAGACATCAAAGGTGAATGAAGGATTACAGCTGCACACTCGTACCGAGATGCAAGGTCTACCGTGGGAACAGTTCCAATACTCTGTCCATACAGAATGATGTTTTCAGGACTGACACCATACCTGCAAGGGGAAAGCAAAAGAGATCAGATATGCACCTTGGTTTTTTTAAGTCATTCTTTCTTTTAAAAAAGCCAACTATTTTTTAAGATATAAGATTTTTAGAAAAAAGACCAACTTTTTAAAGATATAAGGTATATACTAACACACTGTCAAATCCTGGGATGATTCTATACAGTTCTGGGAATATATTATTGATATGGCTTTATATAGCAATAGCACTTAAGACTTGTATACTGCTTTATAGTGCTTTACAGCCCTCTCTAAGTGGTTTTTACAGAGTCAGCCTCTTGCTCCCAACAATCTGGCTCCTCATTTTACCCACCATGGAAGGATGGAAGGCTGAGTCAACCTTGAGCCTGGTAGGATTTGAACTGCCAAACTGCAGGCAGCAGTTAAGTCAGCAGAAGCATCCTGCAGTGCAGCACTCTAACCACCGAGGCTCTTATATATATATAGTTCATATATGCAACACATGAATTACACTTGGGGTATGATAATGGGAAATATATGAGGAAAGATAAAAAGCAAAAAATTATCAACCATTATCATTTTGGCCTTAATTGTAACCATCTGTCAGAGAAATATATTTCATAACTTGCCACGTTCCTGGCATTTAATAAATTTTCTTAATTAATACTTTCTATTTCAGCTAGACATCAATATTTCAGATCGCCAGTGCCAAGTTCCTCATGCAGGAAGATGATGTTAGGGGAGGATGGGGCGAAGAAGAGAAACCAGGAAACAGGAATGAAAGAGGCAATTAATTATTATACATTTTTTGAGCAAATATCTACCATGCCAGGCTTCTCTAGGCCTGGGCATGAAGCACTGTTCTGAGTTCTTTACAAAGGCACTATGTGGATCTGAAGGATAATTTATTTCTGCCTCAGTTTCTCTGCTTGTAAAGTGGGAAAACCTGTTTATTTCAAATGGTTGGTATGAAGACGCTGCGGCATTCCATCATAAAGTGTGTATGGCATGATTGATTTTGGTGTATGCACAGATGAGATAGATGTATTTAAAGCCTTATTCGAACATATTTGTCCTGCAGGACGTATTTAAGTTTTAGGCTGTCTGAGCCAAGTACCTAGTAGTCCGACTTTAGAGTGCCCCATGAGAGTTATAGACTCACTCTTAAAAATATTTTCTTTGAAGGAAAAAGGTGGGGGGAAATGTCTCTAAGAAAACAGAAAACTATGTGACTTTATGGAACAGCCAGAATAAAATTTATGAGCAAGCTACTCCTGTACAGATCATCCTTTACAAAAATCCCTAACGCAACAGGATGCCAAATGCATGTTTGGAGGAAGCGAGTAGAAAAGATGGACACAGTGGAAAGATACAGGGTTGAAAAGGTAAAGTTTAGTACATTTTGGGACTGGCTGACAGCGTACTTGCATTCTGAAATAAAAAAACAGTGCCCACATAGATGAACCAAGGTATACCAGAAATGACAGGTTCAGCTTTTCCCAAACCAATTTAAACACAGCATGAGTTTAAGACCACAATGGCATTGCTTTAAAAAGAAAACCTGTGAAAAAAGGGGAGGAGTCAAATCTAAAAATTTATTTATAAGTTGTAAACAACTATCTGTGCTGCCAATTTGTTATGATAGAACTACTAATCAACCAGAACTTGTATAATCTGATATACAAAAAATGCCGAGAAAATGTTTCAAAGTGATTTTTTCCCTTCTCTTTTACAGTTCAGGATCTGAAAATCAAGCATCCAACTCTTTGTCCCTTGTTCTGTAATAATCAGCCTTTTGTGAGGCTTTTTTGGGGGGTGGGGAAGAGGATGGGGGTAGCTGCATAGATAAAAACATAGAGCTATTCATCTAGAGGAGGAACCAGAATGGTGCTCCAACAGCTGCAATTCTGCACACAAACTGCACTGGGTTGATGCTGCCTTGCAAGCTACTACCCCCCCCCCCCCCCCCCCCCGAGAGCCTTCCTCTCCACTATTGGGGTAGTCTTTTCTAACTTACAGAAATACTGTTAAGAATATGAAATCCTTAAAAAGTCCCCCCCCCCAATTGTACCAAAACAAATCGCAAAGGAGCCGTGGTGGTGCAGTGGTTAGAATGCAGTACTGCAGACTCATTCTGCTGATTGCCAGCGGTTCGAATCTCACCAGACTCAAGGTTGACTCAGCCTTCTATCCTTCTGAGGTTGCTAAAATGGGGGGGCCCAGATTGTTGGGGGACAATAGGCTGACTCTCTTAGAGAGGGCTGTAAAGCACTGTGAAGTGGTATATAAGTGCTACAGCTATTCCTGTTCCCGTTACTGCCCTCCTTTTCTGAACAGCACACAAATTAGGATTTTTACTACCATGCTACCTTTTTAATTTCAGAAGATTCCAAGGCATCTTAAATAAAAACCCACTGGGACTTGCTCTATCTGTCCCACTGCAAATATGACTATGGGATAGTGTTATCCTTCCCCCCCATCCCCAATTTGGAACCTTAATATGAGAACAAATACTACATTCGCTTTTCCAATATAGTACTTTGTGCAAACTGTTACTCAAAGCTAGGTGCCTCTTACTCTCTGAATTCCCAAATTATTTTTCTATAGAAAAGGGTAGACGTAGCTAAATGCAACTGCTGCTTCTTATACCAACTGCTAACATTGGTACCTGATACTACTGGACGTCTTCAACATAAGGACATTCTTTGCAAAGCATGGCGTAAAATTTTGCAATGGATAAGGTTAAACACAAAGCCTGGGTTTTCAAATTACAACCATAAACACTTGAAAGGTGTGTTTTTACCATTCTGGTTTGTTCAGAAAAACTAACTTTTGTACGTACGTTTAATTAGTTGTATTTAATTGAAGAGGTCCTTCAGCAAAGGAAGTATTAGAAATCTCAAGGATTGTTTATTACAAGCAGGAAGCATTTACTAGCCACTTAAGGATTCCCTTCACTGCCCAAACTATTAATAATTCAGAAGAAAGCTACATTTCTTTACTGTGTTTTTGTTTGTTTGTTTTTAATTGGAGTGATACACAATATCTGTTCAAACTCAAGCTCTGGCGAACAATTCTGCAACAGATACCCGTCAGAGGAAGTTCTTCTCCAGGTTTTCTGGAACAGGATGCAAGATTTTTCCCCCTTTCAATCTACATACTTTACAGGCATCTATATTAACAGGAAATTGTCTTATAAATAAGCACCCACCTGTGATGAGTAAAAATGGCTCCAGGAAATCAGATCATTTAAAAATATATATATATAACAAATAGTGCTGTTTTGGAGTGAGATCCAAACCCATTTTCATCTAGGCAAATTAGTGACTTTGGATAAATTATTCTCTCCACCAAATCTACCTCAAAGGCTCTTTTTTGGGGGGATAAAATGGAGACACCCCATGTAAGCTTCCTAGAGCACAGTGGGATATAGACCTAACATGTGATAACTTTGGTGCTTATGCAATGTATACACACATAACCAATAAGGATTTTTTAAAGCCACTGTTGTTGCATAGAGTAGATTCTCACATTGTGAGAATCTTTTTTTTTCATTGTGGATTAGTGCATGTGCAAAACCAACTGGTATGGTTTATGAAACATGGTGAACAGCTTAATACGTTTTTCAGATTGTGGATTACTGAATAAAAACCTGGCAAAATAATGCAGCCTAAGATATAAAAGCCAGACATTAGTTGAAGTTTACCACATAGGTTTATATCAGAAAGCTGGTTATTGACTTGCAGGAAGTTACTGATGGTTGTTTATTTTTTTGAAACTCAGAATCTACCATTTAACACTTGCTAAAGAATAAATATTTTCACTTAAAAGATAAAAATTAAAAGGGATCACATTATGGCTAACTCAATGTACTTTTGCCTCACAGCAAATCTGGAAACTAGTATCTTGACTTGGATCACTGTCCAAAGACTGGATACACATCTAAGCAATAAATAAAAGCTTGATCATAGGAAAGATTAAACACAGCTGACGTCATCACACTAGGATTTATTTATTTCAAGACAGTTGAGTTATATCACGGCTTCACATACGCTAAATCCAATTGGGAAACAAACCAATGGTTAAGTGCAGGATATGCATAAAACCCTCTCTTGCAGCATTGTTATGGTTCTCTATTTCACTTTATGGGAAGTCTATTGAAATGAAGGCAAGTGAGGAAGAAATAAATTAATCTTTCTCAGCTCATAAGGAGCTCCAACCCTTATCAGACCTCTGAACCATTACTTTTCTCTCTTATCAGTTACTGAATATTACTTTGCAATTAAAACAGAAAGGGCTGCTCAGCAAAAATTATGCCAGCTCATTGTATCTCAGTTCTCTGACTGAATATGCTCAGTACTTTTATTAAATAGGACTGTGACTAATAACCTGTGATTATTCTATGGTGAGCATACAGCATGTAGCTTTCTGGTTTTAAAAAAATAAACTTGTCCAATACTGCACAAAGAATAAAACATTAAGAGCTAAATATGTGTGAATTCATTACAGTTGGAAAGGGAGTCACCATATTCCAAACAGATTTAGTAGTTCCTCTAATTTAAGATTACAGGAATTATAAAAATACAGATGCAAAATGAAAGGAACTCACTTTCTTTTCTTTTTTCCCCTCCCTTTCTCATCAGGATAAAGGAGTCTTTGTGAAGGAAGGGTTGGGGAAAAATTGCACCTCAATTTCCTTATGTGAGTAGTTTTCAGTCTCTGATCTCAACTGACTACATGACAACCATTTGTCTGAAATGGTATAGGGTTTCTTGATTGAGCAGGGGTTGGACTAGAAGACCTCCAAAGTCCCTTCCAACTGTGTTATCCTGTTAATTTCAAAATAGGAAGTAAAAAAAACACAGTAAAAACAAAACATCTTTGAGTTGGCTCAACTCCAGCTGCCTGCATGAATGGCAACAATACTAACTAGATCTCACCTATATATCCCAAACTGAGAGATTACTATTCATAGAGCATAGGCTGTATCCCATGTAAGCTTGGGCATTACATATTCAATACAGGTGGTCCTTAACTTACAATCGTTTGTTTAGTGACGTTACAATGGAACGGAAAATAATGACTTATAGCAGATCTTCATGCTTATAACCGCTGTAGCATCCCATAAAATATGTATGATCCCATATTTATGATGGTTGCAATGAGCCAGGGGTCATGTGATCAGCATTTAAAGCTTTAGTCAAACAAAATCAATGGAGTAAGTCAGATTGACTTAACAACTGTGGCAAAAAAAGGTCATAAAAATGGGTGTGACTCATTGAACCACAGGCTTGCTTAGCAACAGAAATTCTGGTCCTAATTGTTGAGGACTACCTGGAAAGCCTTCTATTATGCTCAATTGGACTCATTTTCAGGTAACTGAACATTCATTCCCTCTTCAATGACAGCAGGAGTAATAGATTGAGAAGCTGGAAGAAGAAAATATAAAAGACTTCAACCTCAAAGTTGATTGATCTTGTTAGCCAGTATGAACTTGAACAATCTCCTAACATCTGTCTTCAAGACTGCAGTTATTCAATATTAATTTCAAGCCAGACACTCAACTGATATACTCAAATTAAACGGCTAAATCCAAAGCACGTTTGCTATCAATCTTCTTTGAAACACATATTATACCAGCAACAACCTGCCAAAGATTAAAAGTACGCTACTTCAACTTCCTGAATTTCAAAGTTCTCAGGTAGCATGATCTTTCATAAAGCCAAAGCCCTAAAAGCCAACAAATGCTACATTTCCTGATCATTACTGATTGTGAAAAAGAACTTTGAACCTATTAAAATCTATCTTGGTGTGGGGAGAATTTTTATGTGACCGTCCTCACGTACCTATTACAGGTTAAGCAGTCTACCATAATAGGTTTGATACTACCTAGTTAGCACAATACAAGCATAGCTGCATTTTGACTGTCACCATGATATTGTTGAGTTGTCTAAGAATGCAGAAAACCAAATCTCATGGTAAAGGGATAAATTACAACACATCATTATTGCCTTTTTTTGTTACCTGATGTTTTGTTACCTGATTAAAGGCTTGTGCATCCCTGGTAGCAACCTCCCATTTTCAGTTCAATCAGGGACATTCAAGACAGACTGTGATTTTGCATAAAAATCAACTGTTTAAGAAAGATTTGTGCAGCATTGGCAGTAAGGTTTCTATTTAAAAAGCACAAAGGCCTGTTACATGCAAAGGCGGACAGTCAGCTGAATATCTGGGATTGCAACGAAGTCAGCATTGCAAACATGACTGCAAACAATCAACACAAAAAGAAAAGTCAACACAGTTGCATCAGTGACAACTCCCATAATCATGTTGCTATAAACAGGATAGCGCCCCAAAGATGCGTTTAAAACTACCTGCCACCATTTCCTCAGGTATTTTTTTGCTCATCTTGCAATTTACCTTGTTCTCAAGGCCTGCCAAGCTGCATCAATGTCTGCATAGAGGTTTTTTTCCGATGGTTTGCCAGTGCTGACTCCATAACCCGAGTAATCATAGGAGAAGACATTGCAGTTGATGCGGGAGCCGAGCCCAATGTAGAAGCTGCACATCTGGCCCAGGTCGACGGCATTGCCATGAGAGAAAAGCAGGGTATACCGGCTGGAAGGAGCACAGCGAACAAACATGCAGCCCAGCCGATTATCCCGGGCTGTGCGCGAAAAGAAGACTTCAACGGCATCCAGTTCTCGTTGGGAATACTGCCAGTCGGCTCGTTCAGTCAAATGGAGGCTACAGCTGCTGGTCGGCGTCCCCACCGTAGCAGCGCCTTCTTGCTGTTCTAGTTGCATCACAGTGTAGGTGGGTTCCGGGGGCAAAAAAGCCAGCTTGGCCGCTATGCGACTGGGGCAAGGCGGGCAGCAGAAGAGCCAACATAGCTCGCCTAGAGAGAAGCCGTTCATTCTGGGGCCTTGTTCTGGCATCAGAGACGCTGGATGAACAACCGCACCGAGGAGAGAGGGGCAAAAGGACGCGAGAGAGATGATTCCTGAAGGAAAACGTTTCCCTTCAAGACCAGAGGCGACCCCGTTTCATCAACTGGCAGAATGATTCTCTTAGAAATCCACACCCAGGGAGTCCATGGCTTCTAGCAAGACCTGAATGGGCGCCAGAGAACAAAGCCCATCCTCAATTTTCCTCCTGAAAACGCCTCCTAAGCCCCAATAAGGACAGTTTTCCGTGTGTGACCCTTTTAGCCGCCTCTTTTTTTAACCCACCATGAAAGCCTACCCTCCTAAACTGTCACCTACCCCAGGTACCCAAACCTGGCATGATCTCTACACAGACTCCCACTAAACCAACATGGAAAGATGCCAAAGGCCCTTCCTGGCTCATGGAGAGAGCAAGCCTACAATTATCTTCTAAGGAAAAGAAAAACCAGCACCTTTATGGGACTTTTTTTTTTCCTTTGCAAAATGGAATTATGGCAGCCCCTATATTCCAAGATTTTACTCCCTTCCTCAACGAAGCCCCACTCAAAGCACCCCAAAATAACCTTCCACGACCACCTCCTCGTTCCCTTTAATCCCCGAAGGCTTCTAATGCTTGGGACCCCCCCCCCCCCCCCCTTGTTTTAACCCCCCCCCCCCCCCCCCCCCCCCGAGCCCCCCCCCCCCCTTGTTTTTACCCCCCCCCCCCGCCCTGAAGTTAGGGAGACCCCCACCCAAGCAGCCCCACAAACGGAAGGGCCCACCCTGCTCCGCCCTCTAAGCCAGCCTGAGGCCTTCTTCACGTTCAAGGCGGCCTCGAGGAAATTGGGGCGGGGGGTGCGGTGGGGAGCTCCAAGGGAAGGAGCGAGAAGGCCTCGAGAGAAAACCAGGCCCGGATAGTCAGGCTTCTTCCCTCTTCCTTCGCCCTCCAGGCGGCTGCAGGGGCGCGTCCCGAGACGGAAGCGGGAAAGAGGCGACCCGGCGGCTTCAGGGCAAGGCCCGGGCCTCGTCCGACCTCGTCTTTTTTCCCCGGACTACCTTTCCCTCCTCCCAATCGAGTAGGAGACCAGAGAGGGTTCACTTCCGGGTCATAGCCCGCCCCGTTTCCCACGGTTGGGCCGCGAAAGAGAAGCACTTTAACATTGTACCGCCGGAAGAGAGAAGAGGAGGTGTGGGGGGGGGGAGAGACCAACCGACCAATCAGAAGAGCGGCTGGTCTCACCGCCCCTTCTACGCCTGCGCATTCTCCACCGCTTTTCGTCCCTTCTCCGTATTAACCATAGAGTCCTCCCGCGACTTACTACTGCCCCCTGGATAGGCGCAGCTAAAACTGCTGCATCTTTAGAAGAATCCTGCAGGCAGAATCCTGCAGGCAGCCGGCGCTTTTTAGCTGGTCCTGTTCAGATGACCTCGGCTTGATCCGTGTCTGAAGTTGTACTATGCAGACTGACATGGGAGAAGTCCCCACTTTGTCCAAGGGAGGGGAGGGAGGTTGCTACTGTGTAGACCTGTTCGGCATTACAAAAAGCCTGACCTCAGCCTTAAGCAAAACAGGAATGGAATGGTATTTTTAGTATTTTAGTATTTATTTGATTTGTCAATCGCTTACAAGACACAGGTATAAGAATAAACATAGTTATGAATACATGAAATGGGTACATATAAGAAAAATAAAAAGAAACAATAGGACAGGGACGAAAGGCAGGATTGGTGCACTTATGCATGCCCCCTAGAGACCTCTTAGGAAAGGGGTGAGGTCAACAGTAGACAGTCTAAGGTTAAAGTTTTTGGGGTTTGGGGAAGAAACCACAGAGTCAGGTAGAGTATTCCAAACATTGACCACTCTGTTGCTGAAGTCGTATTTTCTGCAGTCAAGTTTGGTGCGGTTAACCTTGAGTTTGTATTTATTGTGTGCTCTTGTATTGTTATGATTGAAGCTGAAGTATTCATTGCAGGTAGGACATTGCAATGTATAATTTTATATACTATATTTAGATCGGACCGGAGGCGGCGCAGTTCTAGGTTTTCTAGGTCTAGAATTTCAAGTCTGGTGGCATAACGTATTCTGCAATGAGTAGAGGAGCGGAGAACTCTTCTTGTGAAATATTTCTGGACTTTTTCAATAGTGTTAATATCAGATACATCATATGGGTTCCAGACTGATGAGCTGTATTCAAGTATTGGTCTAGCAAATGTTTTGTATGCTCTAGTTAGTAGTGTGATATTACCAGAGAAGAAGCTATGTAGGATTACATTAACAACTCTTAATGCCTTTTTGGCTATGTAGTTACAGTGGGCTCTAGCACTTAGATCATTAGAGATGAGTACTCCAAGGTCCTTGACAAAGTTTGGATCCTCAACAAGGTCTTGATTATTTAGCTTGTATTTTATTTTCTGATTTTTTTTTGCCAATATGTAAGACAGAGCATTTATTTGTTGAGATTTGAAGTTGCCATTTGATTGACCATTCTGATACATAGTCAAGGTCTTTTTGGAGGGTAGTAGTATTGTCTGTGGTGTTGAATAGCTTTACATCATCAGAGAAGAGAATGCAGTTGCTCTTAATATGATCACAGAGGTCATTTATGTAGAGTATGAAGAGAGTTGGTCCTATAACGCTGCCTTGGGGGACACCACTGTTGACAGGTACAGAATTTGATAGAATGCTCCCAATTTTGACCATTTGTTATCTGTTTGACAGGAATGCTTCTATCTAGTTATGTAGGTGTCCAGAGATACCATAAGATTTTAGTTTTAGTAGTAGTTTTAATGTGTGCCACTGTATCAAAGGCTTTACAGAAGTCTATGTAAATTGCGTCTATTGCTTTGCCCTAATCGAGTTGTGTAGTCCATATGATTTTGCAGTGTAAGAGTTGCAGATTACAGGATAGTTTTTTTTCTGAAACCAAATTGTTTATTAGAGAGTAGGTTGTTTGTCTCTAAGTGGAGGATAATGGGTTGGTTAATAACTGATTCCCTTTTTGAAGATGGGGATGACCGTGGCTTGTGACCATAGTTTTGGCAAGGAGCTGGTCCTGAAAGATTTTTCAAAGATTATGCTTAGAGGTTCGGCTATGGCAGTTGTTAGGGATAACATTGTTTACCCTAACTGGTTTGGGTAAAAATAATAAATAAGGTATCATGGTTTGTTAGTTAAAGTGTATGTGACTTTAAGCTAAAGGAATGTAATTAAGGGTGCAGCTGTAAAAGTACTATATAAGCAGCAAGGCACTCTCTGGCTTACTGATCCCTAATTACTAGCTGGCTTATTGAAGACTGCATTCTTGCTGGATCGGGGAGGAGAAGAAGTGTTGGATTATTTTGAAGATATTTTCTCAACGGAGAGAAAATAAAGATTGGACAGATTTATTGTAAGTGTACTGACATTGGCTATTCAACACGGACTTTGCAATTAGAGTATCCTCGACAAGACTTGACTGAATTTGGTATATGACTAATGGACTGTTTATAATGACTATGCTATAATTCTTAAATGGAATAAATTATAATTTTGATAGCACAAGCGTATCTGTATTTTTACTGCGTGTTAACGAGAAGGCTTATCTCACACATTTACCTGTCTTCCTATCTGACTTCGCTGCACATTCTGTTTAGTTTGTTTTCCTTAACACCCGTTGGGGAATCCAGGCTTAACAGCAGTGGATAGCTTTTTTAAGAAGTAGGCACATATTCTGTCCGGTCCAATAGATAGAGATGGTTTTAGATTGCGTAGTGCTTTTTCAACAATGTCTTCTGTAAAATAAATATGTATTAGAAATTAGATCATTGTAGTTGTTTGTGGTTCGACTAGGAAGTACTGGCCTTGATCCATTGCTGTTTACAAATACTGAGCCAAAGAATGGGTTAAAGAGGTTTGCTTTGATGGTGTCGTCGTTGCAGTCTTTGCCTTTAGGTCCTTTCAGGGGTGGGATGGACCTTGAGTCTTTTAGTTTGTTGTTTACAAAATTGTAGAAAGCACGGGTGGAATTTGTGCTTAGAAGGTTTTCCTGTTGTTTAATGTGATAATTAGTGCATTCAGTTTTTATCTGGTGGCATAGATTTTTGTATCGGCTTTTGAAGTTGGAAACGTGACCATATTTTTTCGCCAAAGTGATGGACTGAAGCTTCCTTATTGTTATGGGTAAATCTGTTTTTCCTGGTTTTGGGAGTTGTTATTGGTACATATAGTTTGATGGCTCTTTTGGTTTCTAGTGAGAGTATGTTGTAATGGTCTTCAACAGTTTTGCATCCAGTGAATAGAAATTGCCAAACAAGGGAAGAGATATCATTGATTATAAGATCATAGTTGTCTTTTTTGAAGTTATAATTGGGGATTTTGTCATTGTGATGATTTTTGTGTGGACGTATGTTGAGACAAAAGTCAATCATGTTGTGGTCACTGTTGGAAAAGGATTCTTTAATTTGTATTCCATAAATTGAATTCAAACTATTGCAGAAGATGAGATCGAGGCAGTTGTTAAGCCTAGTATTGTTGGTTACTAGTTGTTTCAGTCCCAGATTTGTAACAGCATTGTAGAAGGTTTCATGTATGGGTTCAGTTGTACATTTGTTTAGGGTCCAGTTAATATGAGGTAGATTGAAGTCACCAAGAAAGATAAAATTGTATGGGCAGGATGCTGCCCATGTTAGTAGTGAATTTAACTTGTTTGCATGTTCAATGTCATAATCGGTCTCTGTAACATAGTAAGAACCGAAATGTGATATTTAAGGTCAGTTCACAGATAATGGTCTCAGGAAGAGCAAGCTCTTGGGTAACTTGAAACTTGGGTAAATGGAATGGAATGGAATAGAATGTATTGGAATGAAGAATAGAATAGAATAATGGAATGGAACAGAACAGAACAGAACAGAATAGAATTCTTTATTGGCCAAGTGTGATTGGACACACAAGGAATTTGTCTTTAGTGCAAATGCTCTCAGTGTACATAAAAGCTATAAGTGATAAATCATGATCGTAGTCATAAACATACATTCATCATAAATCATAGGATACAACCCTTAGTGATAGTCATTGGATACTAAATAAGCAATCAACATAAATCATACTAGGAAACTAAATAAAACAATATAAATCATAGAGATACAAGCAACAAAGTTATAGTCATAAGTAGAAAAGGAGATAGGTAATAGGAAAGATGAGAATAATGATAGTAATACTGCCTTTTTAGATAGTTTGACAGTGTTGTGAGAATTAGTTGTTTAGCAGAGTAATGGCATGGGGGAAAATGTCCTTGTGTCTAGTTGTTCTGGTGTACAATGCTTTATAGCATTGTTTTGAGGGTAGAAGTTGAAACAATTATATTTATTATATATAATAAATTGTTCATTTGTAAATAAATGAATTATAAATGAATTGTTTATAAATTATAAACAATTTATAAATGTTTTATTTTATAAATGTTTATAAATTATAAACAATTTATTATATATAACCATAAGACATTTATCTCCCTTGGGGCAGAATCCATTGAAGAAGACTGAGGTCTGGACTTTTGTAATACCACTAATGCCACAAACACATATACTGTATATATGGGTATAGGTGGGAGTATATACATACGTGTCAGCTTTAAAATTCAGCTGTCACATTTCATGG